GCGAATAAAAAAACCCGAAGATAAAGGTTAGTACAAATATATCTGCTACAATTCGATTGGTTTTCAGCTATGTCACCAAGACTCAGTCCTCAACCACTGATTCCAATCCTCTAAGTGACCTTAATCAAGTAGCCTATATCTCCGTACCTTCACGGCTCAGACTAACAGTAATAGACCTCATAAACGTCTACCACATCTTGATCTGGTCAGCTTGAACCCTCTTACAACCTAATCCAACTTTCTGTATTAACATAGCACGTCGAAGTAGGTAGTGCCTCGGGATGAGCAACACATTCTCAAGCCACATCAGTCGTGGAGCTCCTTGGTCTGAGCTCAACACTACTCACATTATGACTGCACCAAACTTGAGCAACACTACATAGTTGTCGGATCAATAGATCCCTCATAAAACCTCCGAAGGGATTTTAAACATCACCTATTAGAACCTAGAAGATCTGGATTTCGCCAGTGATGACTTGTGCCTGATGTCACATAAACTTGAAGATCTACAGGCAAAAACTAACAAGTTGACAGAAGAGGCTAGGCAGCGAAGACGGGACTTCAGGTGAATATGGAGAAGACAGAAGTGCTGAAGATACCGCACCAACAACAACAACAAAATCCAGTCACCATCAACGGGAGAAACGGCAGAAAGGAAGTAACCTACTTCACCTATCTAGGAAGCACTGTTTCAACTACAGGCGGCACAGGCACAGACGAGGATGTCAAAGTCAGAATCGGAAAGACAGCAAGACAGGCGTTCATTAACCTCAAACCAGTGTGGAGATCTTCTGCACTCAACATGTGGAACAAGATACGGATTTTCAACACCAACGTCAAGTCAGTGCTTCTGTATGATGGTTGAGAGACTTGGCACGTTACGAAAGGGATATCCAATAAACTACAGACATTCATCAACAACTGCTTACACTCGCTACTGAAGATCAGATGGCCAGAATAATAAGAATAAGCAACAAGGAACTCTGGGAATGAACCAACCAAGAACCTATCGCTGAACAAATATGCAGTAGCGGGAAATGGAGATGGATTGTATGTGGCATACACTGAGAAGGCCGACTGGGGACATCACGCATCAGGCCAGCCAGTCCCTCGAGTGGAATCCCCATGGGAAGTGACGAGTTGGGCGTCGGTGTCAAGGGTGACATGGAGGAGATCGTGTGAGGAGGGAATGAGAGGTTGTGGGCTGTCGTGGAGCCAGGTTCAAAAGATTTCACAGAACAGAGTTAACTGGAGACGTGCTACTGAAGCTCTATGTTCCATTAAGAACCCAAGGGACTAATAATAGTAATAACAATAATAATAAGACAAGGCTGTCTACTATCACCTATGATCTTCCTAATCGTGGTAGTCTGGATCGTGCAAGAAACTATGACAAGCGAGGAGAGTGGCATATGAACCTATGAAAAGATGTACTAGCACGAAGATCTGCAGGCGAAAACTAACAAGTTGACACAAGAGGCAACGAACACGGGACTTCCATGTAGAGAAGACAGAGGTGGTGAAGATACCCAACCAACAACAACAGTAAGCATCTATCACCATGAACGAGAGAAACCGAGAGGATGTAGTCTCTTTCATCTATCTAGGTAGCATCGTTTCAACTACAAGCGGCACAGATGAGGATGTCAAAGCCAGGATCGAAAAAGCAAGATAGGCAGTCATGGAGCCAGGCTGAAAAGACTGCAACGAAGAAAGTGCAATGGTGACGTGCTACTGAAGCCCAAGGGACGATTAATATAATAAATAATTACACAACCACATCGGGTAACTTTATAGGTCACCTAAGCAACTGCTGAAATAAACAGTCAGTCTTCGACATTTCAGCTGGAAAGGTGGTTATTTGTCAGAGTGGTCTTTAGGGTCACTCCGACACAATGAGTCATCTTTAAGTTAGTATTCTTCACGGACCTGACATCAGTTGGAGAACTACTGAAAACCTGGGAGCACTGGACGTCTGTTTCGTCGTAGTATGGAATGACTTTCTAGCAGTATGCTCCCCACGATCACCACAAGGATAGAAGTCACGACCATTCAGCTACTGGGACAGAATTCAGTGGCCTACAGTTTCCGACTTCTATCAATTTGTGAAACAGCACGACTCCAAGTCTTCAGTTAGCATCCACGTCAGTTTTCAACTGGTTCTCCAAATGATCTTTGTTCATAATGAATACAACCTTATAAAAAATGAAATTCCCCTCTAAACCTTGAGCTACCATTATAACGGTTCATTTTCAATGATAAAATTACCGATAGATTTTAGTTTGAGAAGACAGAATGTGAAAATGTGAAAAACTTACACATAGGCTATAACAAGCAAGTTCAGAGACTGTAAAACATGTCTTAGGAACATGACAATCCAGTCATCAAATGATAATCAATAGTGACGTGAACATTAACCCAATCAGTATACAAACTACTAATGAAGGATCAGTCAACTGGAAATCATTTAAGCAGATCAATAATCGCGCACTAGGTCAACAGCATTATTTAAATGGTAACAGTCGTTACAAACGTCGACACGTGATCCCAAAAAGAGATATCCCCTACTCATAAGCCAATGACGCTCAAGGTCAGCCATAAAGAGGGTAGGAGGTAGGGAAAAGGTCACACTAACAACTTATGGATAGTCAATTATATTTCATACAAACTAACATCCCAACCGAGTTATCGAAACGTGATTGGTGACTTTATTAGTTGTTAGGATGGCCTTCATTCATATAAGTGTAAAACTTGGGCATCGTGGAAGAAAATCAATCCATATTAGATTTAAATTTTGAGGGAGTTGTGGAGATTTGTAAATATTTCAAGTTGTTATTCATCCTAGACTGACATCAGTTGGAGGAACAAAGGAAACCTAGTAGCACTGGACAGCTGTTCCGTCTTAGTATGGGACTCCTCAGCAGTGTGCACCCACGACTTTGCCGGGGGTCGAACCCGTGACCATCAGGTTGTGCGGCCAGCGCGTTACCATTGAGCCGCTGGGTCAGAGTCCATTTGTCCATATTTCCAACTTCTCTTAGCTCACGACAGCCCCCCCCCCCCCCGACAGGGTCGTGGGTGCACACTGCTGAGGAGTCCCATACTAGGACGAAACAGCTGTCCAGTGCTACCAGGTTTCCTTTGTTCCTCCAACTGATGTCAGTCTACGATGAATAACAACTTGCCATATTAGATTTGTTTATTTGATTTAGAACACATAATTATGATACAGTATGATTTACTTGATGACCTTTCCAGCTCATAATCATGTCGATGTAATCATATCACTTTCAACAACCGATATTCATAGTCCTGTCACCTAATATTCTTTGTTCTTATTGGTAGTAAAATTTTCCATATCTCTGGTATCAGTGTTGCCTCATTTCTATTACATGTGTTGGGTGTTGATTCGATGAATAGAGATTCAGTAATCAATCTCTCTTCCGACTTAAGTACAGTGGCTTTATCTCACTCTATTGTGTAGTTGTATGTGTTAATCCATGCAATCCAATAGCCTAGTGTTTTTCTAGATTGTTTAACTGTTCACGTCTGTCATATACAAATTTAAACCACCTTTATGTGTACAAAAACAGTTTGTTGTTACACTACACCTACTTTGTTTTCTTACCAAGATTAGGACCAACTATGTCACTTCCTATTTGTCCTCATCTTTCTTAATTTTAATCCCCTATTGTGTTAATTGTTGTATTTATCCCCCTCCCAGCCCTCGGTTTAATATATATTCTATATTCGCCCTAAATTTCTGTATTCCGCTATTCTAACTGACCCTAATCGGTTAGTTTCACCTATACATGAAATTTGGTGGGTTAGATTATTTTGCCTAATTGAATCTATCACATTCGAAAGGCAGCTGACAGCTTATCTCTGAATGAGTTTGTAGGTTTAAATGACACTCTAATTCCATCCTTGCTTAACATCCTATGTGAAATTTTTGATATACCTTCCCTATATGGTAACACAACGGAGGGTGTGAACAGCTCTCTACTCGTCTCGTCGTTATTATTCATTCTCGTGTTACTGTTATTTTTTCGTTTCTTATGCCTTACCTTGAATTTCTTCATAATCTGTGGGGCATAATTATAACTATGGGCGCTACTTTTATATGCTTTACTTCTTTGTTTAGGTCCTTGCGCTGACTCATCAGTTTTCTTGCTGTATCATTTAGACATTTGAATAATCCTGCCTTAACTGACATTGGATGGGATGACTTGAAGTCTAGATCACCTGTTGGAATGTGTCGGTTTTCTGTAGACGGTAGTATCCAAACCACCATCTGTCCTTCGTTTTATCCTCCAATCCAACATAGGAAGTTCTCCGCGTATTCATTTTCTACCACGTAAGTTAACTGAATTGCGCCTACTACTGAGATTATATGTGTGAGGAAATTTTCGATATGTTCCAACTTCATTTTTGTATGAAGGAAATGATGAAAAAATCGTCTCAGGGTTCAGAGTTCACTAAGAAAAATTATACAAATCACACTGTTTTAGACAATATTCCCAGAGTTCAATACTTCAATGGTTCAATGTTCACCGATCGAATTCTGTGTAACGTTTTTCTTTCGTTTTTCATCATTCCAGATGAATTTAACCTTGACCACAGACTGACATAATTTGGAGAAGTATTAAAAATCTGGACATATAAGACAGTTATTTCATCTTCGGAGTTGTTGAAGAGTCTTATCCTCAGACGAAACATTTGTTCAATGATCCTAGGTTTTCATTGATTCTTCAACCGATTTCGACGGGTGATCAATAAAACCTTTAAACCAGTCGATCTACTCTGAATACAATAAATTCAGCTTACATACTTTGTGACAGTTTGATACGCTCGTCAAGGTCATATGAAGTGAAATGTGAAAATTTGAGGGAAACAAAGAGAGTGACATAGGGAAGGAAAAGAAACCAGAAAACAAAATATCGCAAAAAAGAAATGCATGAGAATATTTTCAGTGTTATAATGAAACATGCAAAACTTACAGCGATAATAAAGAATGGTAACCAGCATAGACAAAAGCATCCCATAATAACTCCGAGTGTCTTAACCGCTTTTGATTCATTTTGATGACGTGAATGACGTTTTTTCACTGGTAATTTACTAAATGCCCAACTGGGTGTACGACTTCCACGATGTGTTGTCATATTAAAATTGGTCGTCTGATCAGATTCATATAATTTTTGAGTTGGATAATTGTTGTTCGCTTTTATGACGTTATTATGATTAGCATTACTACTATTATTATTAGTAGTAGTAGTATTAGTATTATCATTAGTGATAGTAGTTGTAGTGGTTTCGGTCTGTGCGGTTGTCATCTGACCCAGTGACTGTTGTACCTTATTCCTTATATTACGATTAGTCAGTTGATTCCAGGGGAAACCATGTGAAGTTGACGGTGAACTGCATCGTCTGTCAGTACTGTAATCGGGTAGACCTAAAAGAAGTGGACGATTCCTTTGTAGATATTCATTCGTGGTGGTGAATGATCTTCTCGGTGTATAAAATGGTCTTTGTCGTGGACGTGGTATATGCATTGATAGTGTAGTTGTTGTTATCGATGATTGCGTTGATACTACTGATGCTGTTGCCTCCGCTACTGTCGATGGTAGTGTCGGTGTACAGTGAAATGATAGTGGAGAGTAAACATCCCTTCTTCCACTGACTGTTGTTGCTGATGTGGACAATTTACCAATATCATTGACTATTAATGGTGTCGTTTCTTGTGATGCTGATAGTAACATGAAATTCCTATTTAAATCCTCTGGATTAATATGATTACTATTTTGATTATGCATATTACCAATAGGTATATTGTTAGAGTACACATGTGGAACAACTTCTGAGATCTCTGATAAACTATTCATATGACTAGATTCATCAAAATAATGCGATATTGAAAGTAAAGGCGGTGAAAATACAGAATTTCTTGATCGATTTGTATCAGTTAATTGATAAGTGTCATTTTTAGACAGATAACTCATTGGTTGATAGATACTACTATCAACAGCATTAGTAGTACTAGTAGTAGTAGTAGTAGTATAATCATGAAAAGTTAAATTCTCTTCATTATTTTTTTGATCATGAAATCGATTTTTTAAATTTATAGTAATTGAATGTCGTGTATATGGTGCATCAAAAAATTCTGCTCTTAAATGTTGTATTTCTTTAACATGTTGTTGAAATTGTTCAACAGATGACATCATTGATGATGATTCAGATAGAATATGTGATTTTTTAACATATTGATTTAATATATTTATTGATTTTTGATTAATTTCATCATCATAACTAAGTCTTCTTAATGGACGTGGTTTACGACGTCGGCATAACTCTGATGGTGGTAAAGGATATCTCTCTTTTATCTGGATACCATTACTGAATTGTTCAGTTTGTTGAGGTAATGATCCAACCGATTTATTTCCTGTTGTAGAGTGTTGTGATTTTTCATAGTGTTCAATTTTCAATGGTTCATTATTATTATTATTATTATTATTATTATTATTATTATTATTATTATTGTATTCACTTTCAACTGAAGTATTAACATTATATTGTGTATAACTGAATGTTGATGATTTTGTAATGGATTCAGTGACAAGTTTTTGTTTAGCATCTGCTCGTGCCATATTACGCGCCAACATTAATATACGTCCATATAATATAAGCATAACAATTAATGGAATATAAAATGCACCCCAAGTAGCATAAACTTGATAAATCATATTTGAACTATACTCACATATACCAGGAATAAATGTCTCTTTAAAGCCAAACATTGGTGGAATACTTATTAATGCTGATAATAACCATACTAATAATATCATTAACATCATACGTTTTGGTGTACGTTTTGCAGCATATTGTAATGGTCGAGTAATTGCTAAATATCGATCAATTGATATAGCGCATAAATTTAAAATTGACGCTGTACACATTAAAACATCGAATGAAATGAACATATCACACATACCTTCACCTAATGGCCAATATCTATGCAATTCACGTAATGTAGCAAAAGGTAGAACTAATAAACCGACAAGTAGATCACTAATTGCTAAGCTAACAATTAAAAAATTACTCGGTGTACGCAATTTCTTTACTAAACCAATCGCTAAAACAACTAATAGATTACCCAATACTGTACCAATAGAAATACTGGTTAAAAGAACACCGATTATAATCATAGTATTTTCAATAGGCATTGAAAATAATAATAATAATTCCATACTTTGATTCATACTCTGATTCATTGGGGACATCTTGAAGTGATTCACATTTGCCTTCAACAATGACGTTTGTTTAAATTAAACTTTTTTTTTCTCCCGCGTCTATTCAAATGTTTAAAAGTCATAACTTCATCTCTTGGCATACATGTTATTCATTTTATTATCCCCTCTTGGTATATAATTGGTAATATGAAGCATAATAGTATATTCCATATGAACGGTTATTTTATAAAAATCTCGCATGTTTTAATTTATGAATTTGTGATACTACATTCATGAAAATATTCATCATATTAATGAGAAGTAATTGTAGTAGTAATAGTAGAGGTGTAGTACTTACCGTATGTTAAAATTGATCCCCATTTCTAAGACACGTTTGTAGTGTCATATAGATAAATCGACATAGATACACACACACACACACACTTACCTGCATACATATACACACGTACAAACCGATTAACACTAGTATATTATTATTATTATTATTCGCCCACTGATTCGTAAATTTCATTGGTCAGACAAATCCAATTGAATGTCTGATTTAGACACGTGAGTATATGTATCAATAGATAGGTGTTTATGTGTATTATATGTCAGTTAGTATAAACAAGCAACAATACACTACACATACACACACACATTCGCTTACTTTTTCACAGTAAAACAGTGTAAGTCAAAGATGTTAAATGCTCTTTATAGGAAGTACGTGTGTCCATTGTATACACACTCTCCTTCAAGGGTCGAATTTTGTAAATGTACTTTTATGCTTACATATCAATAAAATATCTTTCATGGGATAAGCGTCATTAAACACGTTTTATTTACATACGATTCAAGAAACTACAGACATACAACACATCAACAGGTGCCACCGACGCATACTCGATACTGAAGATCAAATGAATCACCAGAATAATAAGAATAAACAAGGAACAAGGAAATCTGGCTGCCAACGTACCAACCAAGAACTCGTCACCCAACAAATATGCAGAAGATAGTGGACATGAATTGAATTGGACATACACTGAGAAGACCGTAAAGGGACATCAGGCTCCAAGCCAGCCAGGCCAGTCCGTCGAGTGGAATCCAAATGGGAAACAGCTAGTTGGGCGTCGGAGGCCAGGGTGACATGGACGAAATAGTGTGTATAAGAAATAAAAGCTTGTGGGCAGTCGTGGAACGAGGTTGCAAAGACTGCAGAGGAGTGAGTGAAATGGCGACGTGCTACTATAGCCCTATGTTACACTAGGAACCCAAAGGACAAATAATGATAATAATCTAGACGTGCGTACAGCAGTCCATATGTCAGTGTTACCAAATGAATTGGGTCCAATCAACGGTGGAGAGTCACAAGCTACAACATTTACAAAGCACAGTGTAATTCCTTCATTGATAAGTCACTTCTACGACTAGTCAAAATACCTGCAGAATTTTGGTAGTTGTAAGTAGAGAAGATTTATAACTCGGTATGAATATGACAAATAGTCAGTGTGCTCTGAACCTTGAAGTACGTTCGTGGATATTTTATCACGAGGATAGGTGATTTTATCAATGATTACGTAAAGAAGAAAGACTTCAACAAGTTTGTTTTCGGCTCTATCATCTGCCTTAACAGGTCTATAGTCACATTCAAGTATAGCCAGTGGTATTCCCTATTGACTAGCACCAGCTGGACGGTCATCGAAAACTTTGTCCTCATATGGGACTCCTTGGCAGTGAGGACCCATGTCACCACACCCCTAGGGATTGAACCCAGGACCTTCAGGCTTCACGACCAGCACCTTACCATTGAACCACTGCTTTGACTGACTGTCACGACCTCCATACAATGAATATCTGTCGTCATACCCTATTTGGTTGACCCCATGGGTCACGACTTCTCATTAGAACTTCCGGAATCGCTTCTTGAAGCTAGTCATCAATGATTACTAGAATTGAATCTTTTAGTAAAAGGCGAAAGATTTCTCCGCAAATGAGGAGACACCAGGAAAAAGGCTAGAGGTGGCCAGACTAAAACATGGCACCAATGTATGAAGTCTTTGATTGTTGGTTTAAGCCATGTAGGACGATGTAGATGTAGATGTAGGTGGTTGGGGTGTGTGGGACAAGAGGAACCAGTGGTTGGAGACTCTAGGTGATATGGCTCAGAACCGATGTCAGTGGTGCAGATGTATACACACATTATCCTCATCTTAACTACACTATATCGAATCTCACCATTTCCTCATTCTTCCTTTCTCTCTTCTCGTACTTTGTATTTCTTTTGACTGGATTTTCTTATCTTCATCCTTCACCTCACTACCTTTCTACCTGATGAACTGACGTGAGGTGTGGCAACTCGGACCGTTACGCAGTAATGCCTGGTCCTATGTTGATAATGATTGATTGACTAGAACTGAATAGAAGTCATGCTATATAGGAGACTGACAGAAGTAGGAAATGTGAATCATTGCATTTTGACCCAGTGGTAACATGCTGGCCATAGAATCTGAGGGTCCTGGGTACGACCCCTGGTAAGTTCATGCGTGCCAACTACTGAGGAGTCCCGTACTAAGACGAAACACCTGTCTAGTGCTCCCAGGCTTTCAGTGTTTCTCCAACTGATGTCAGTACATGATGAATATCAACCTGAAATCAGTAAATAAATTCCCGTAAACCTAAAAATTGAATAGTCAATAATCATCAGAGTATTGCTATTTATTGACATACTTATTATTCTCTGTTGTTTTGTTAGATAGAATTGTTCGACCTCTATTGGCATATGGGCTCGTACGAGGATGTCTCAATATTGCCCGGATGTTAATTATGCTAATTTGGTTGGTTATGGCTAGCAGAAGAACCCAGGACACGCGTTTCGTTTTATTTGGGACTCGTCAGCTGGATGTAATTGCACCCCAGTGGGACTCGAACATCGTAACCATCCCTTCAAACGCCAAGACATTATCCACTATGCCACGGAGGAACGGCAGCCACCTATTGTGCTACGCGTAGTAGTTATTAGTATATATTGACATACTTGCGGATGCCCCCGATATTGTCTGAATGTTAATTAGGATAATTTGGTTGGTTGTGGCTAGCAGAAGAATCCAGGACTCACATTTCGTCCTATTTGGGACTCTTCCTGGATTCTTCTGCTAGCCACAACCAACCTAATGATCACAGTTGTTTGTGACCATGAAAATATAATGGGAATAAAAACTGCGTAAAAAGAAAAGGGAAGTATTAGATAAAGTGAATAAATATGAGTTGAAATCAAGTAGAAGTGGGACATAGAACTTTAGTAGTACGCCTACATTCCACTCTCTTCTCTGCAATCTGGATATCTAATTCTAGTTTCGATTGTTGTTCAGCTTCAGTAATGCAAAGTAGACGTTTTCTTACGTCCTTCGAAAGATTACGTTGTACTCTATAGACTAGTGTAAACTAATTTTTTGGAAATGTATCTGGTGTCAACTAAATGTTGTCATATCGAGAAGTTAGTTGATCTGTCTATTCAGCCACCGTCAAAGAATAACAAGATTAGCCTTATACAAAGTGATTGGTTTTGTCTGCTACACTCAGTTCTTGTTCGACCCCTTGTCATTCATTAGATAAATGCTCAACTAAGTGAAACTGTTATTATGATACTTGTAATTTCCTGTTGATATGCATGGTCAAATCTCTGGACCTGTGTTGCCAGATGGGCTGCTATGTGGACCTCTCAATACTGCTGAATATTTACGGTGTTATATTGATCTTGGTGACTAGCAGAGGAATCCAAGGTGGGCGTACTTTTCTATTTGAGACTCCCGAGCTGGATGTGTCCATTACACAAGAAGTGGCTATCACACCCAGTGGCTCAATGGAAATCGCTTTGGCATCTGGAGTGATGGGTAGGGGGTTGGAGTCTCAGTGGGAGCAAAATCAATCCCCACCGAGATAATGGTACATCCAGCTGATGACTCCCAAGTAGGATGAAATGCGCGTTCTGGATTTTTCTGCCAGGCACCAAGATGAAACTGTATGCATATATGTTCATGATGACTAGTATAACTTGGAACTAATTGTTTGGAGGTGGCCAACAATTCAGGTAAACTGTGATATGTAAATGTCAGTAGCGTTGTAATATTAATGGTTGATATGTGCTATTGAACTAATTTTTGTACAGTTCAGTCAGATGGACTTTCATTGAGTGAACTCTGTCAGCTGGAGGATCTATCGTGGCTACTGACGTCAAAATCAACATATCGCTGTTCAGTATGTTAATTTTCTGAGATTCAAAAGGAGCTAAGTGAATTCGCAAACGAGTTCTCTTTGAATTATGTTTTTTTACTGGTTGGCATTCATCAGTAACGAGTATCTGAAAACATGAATAGACACCGATATTCACTTAATGGACGAAACCTGCACCACTCATTGTTGAAGTTTATTTTATTTCGTGGAAAGTAATCATAACGTTTGTTATGATTCAATGTTAGGCGCTGGATACGAACAATGCGCTACACTTGGACCGATATATAATAACTAACCTCAGAACTCTAGTGTTTATCTAAGCCACGATCCACTTTGATTCAAAGCAGAAGAAGAAGAAGAAGAAGAAGAAGAAGAAGAAGATTGTACGCGTTTATTATGGCTCCGTACCAACAATGCATGGAGCAAAATCTCATATGTATTCGCATGATTACCTGTAATATCCTTGCAAATCAGCAATTCAGCACACAAGTTCAATGAACCATGTTTAGAATTCTGTAGACATCTAAACTTTCTAAGACAATGTGACTAAAAATACTAGTTTTTCAGTCTTGTCCGGTTAGTTTTTTCTGGAAATAATCATATTTCCCCCACAAACAAGCTGGCGGTGAAATTTGAGAAACGTGTAAAAATTTGCGACTTTTAAAACTCTCAGTTAACTTTGTAGAATATTTTTTTTTAAAAGTTCAGAAAGTAAAAAAAGAAATTATTTTTGCTCTTTCTATGGGCAGGAGTTATCAAATTCTACTGTTCAATGAAATGAATAGTCTACCTTTGAAAATACGCGCGCGTGTGCGCACGTACACACATGCAATAAAACAAACAAATTCAATGTATCAATACTCACAGATCAACTGACACCCACTTCGGTAATGATAAGGGAACAAGAATAGCCTAAAAGACTAATGTCAAAGAATTAAAACAAATTGAAAGTCGATAGTAAATCAGGTGAAAAAGTTCTTTCAAACAAACAGTTGATTAACCAAATTGAAACTCAAACTTGAGGATATATTTAACAAAAATAAGAAAATGTAAACAGAAGGGAATCTTATATATTTTCCCAGTCAGTATTTAGAAATGCAAGTTATATTTTGCTCCGTGATACTATGGAGTTGCAGTTCATTAGTCTACGTAGTTTCCTTTTAAACAATGGGTAACGGGTTCGAACCCCACTTCACTAATTACGAGGTATCATTTAACCCTCACCATTATTTCATATATGTGATTTCTTTTATTCAAGACAATGTCTCATAAGAATACGGATTTTGTAATAGCAAAATTTGATTATAAGGCATCAGATGGTCATGAACTTGGTATTCAAAAAGGTGAACGATTAACACTTATTGACGATAGCCAACACTGGTGGAAAGTGATGAATTCATTCGGTAATACAGGCTATGTACCCAGTAATTATGTGAAACGATCAAAACAGGTGAGTGTTTAGTGAAGTATAAGAATAATATTCTTCTATGTAGGGTATCTTTTCAAGTTTACGCAATACTTTGGGGCGACGAAAAAGTCGACAGGAAGGTACACTTAGTACTAGACAATCCAATCCGTCTTCGCCTACTCCAGATGAAAGTAATGGATTTGCAGCTTTCGATTTGAGACATGAAAGTGTTGAATCTCTTGGCTCAAAGGTTGTTGAAATATCTGGGTCTACAAGTGTTCTAACTCCTCCTAGTCAAGCATTTGCAGATATGAGACTTCATGAAGGAGTGCTTAATAATACATTTCCTATTCCATTACACAGTCAAACAGCTGTTCAACATGGTGAGAGATTTCAAGAGGCAAACAAAACTGTTGATAATGAATCAGTCAATTGGCTGTCAAAATCGGATACAAAACCAGCCTATCCTCAGGTACTATCCATTTGCATACATGACTAGTCTCATCAATACTTTTATTCAGGTTGATGATATCATTACTACTAGGGGCTGTTTATTTGAATCAAGCTATAGAAGTATTAAGCGTTTAGTGGAGCTTTGGCTCTGTGGTTTAGGGAGATGACTACCAATCAGTGGGTCATGGGTTCACACCCCATTTCACCTACCAAGGTTTGGGCAGCCGAGTAGTAACATTGGCTCTCATACAATAGGTGCGACTGATTGCCTAGTACACGAATGTGCACAAGGTTGCTGAGTGCATATCTACTCAACCGATATAATAATACTTCGTATTTGATATTAAAAATTATGGTTCAAGTTGGTATTCATCATGGACTGACATCAGTAGGAGGAAAATTTGAAACCTGGAAGCAGTCGACAGCTATCCCCTCCTAGTATGGGGCACCCTATCAGTTAGAACCCATGACCCCACACTGCCAGGGGTCAAGCCCAGGACCTTCAGAGTCCCATGACCAGCAAGTTACCATTGAGCCATTGGGTCAGAATCCAGCGGTCCATATTTCCAACTGCTGTCAGTTCATGGCATAGAGCGACCATTACCCAATACTGTCGTCGATTTATTCTGAAGGCCATCAGGTTTGCACCACTGGTCACGGCTTCTCATTGAAACCTCAGGAACCACCTCTCGAAGCTAGTCAGCAATGAGCACTAGATCAATTGAATTAGCGGGTATGTAGGGATTTAGTGGTTTTTCAAGTTGGCGATGGTCACATCATATCGTGAACTGACGGAAATTAGAGATATGAACCACAGGATTCCGACCTAGTGGCTCAATGGTGACGTGCTGGCCACAGAACCTGAAGGTCGCGAGTCTGATCCCTGGCGGGTCGTGGATAGGCACTGCTTAAGGGTCGCATACAAGGAAGGGACACTTGTCCATTGCTCCCAGGTTTCCAAAGTTCCTCCAACCGAGATGTGATGAGTGGGGATTTTTACTTAAGAGGTAGTTATCATCATGGACTGACATCAATTGGGGAACCATTGAAAATCCGGAAGCACTGGACAGCTGTTTCGTTCTAGAACTATATCAGATATACCAAGATAGACATAAAAGCTAGGGAGATGCATCATAGATTTTGGTATCATTTATGACATTTATGATGTCAATTTTTAGTTGAAACAAAACTCTGCGCCTCTACAACACATTCAGCGGCAGTTTTTTTGAATAGGACTTGAGGATTTCCACATCTAGTTAAAAATGTCTAAGTATTGAAATTCAAATCAGATAGAGATTCTACATTTGTCTTCTTCTTGATGACTACAACTATTGGAGGAAACTTTTGGTTCATTTTATTATTATTATTATTTATCCCTTGGGTTCCTAGTGGAATATAGGGACTCAGTAGCACGTCTCCATTTCACTCTGCTCTCTGCAATCTTTTCAACCTGGCTCCACGACTGCCCACAACCTCTCATTTATTCCTCACATCATCTCCTCCATGTCACCGTCGCCTCAGATCCCCAACTCGTCGTTTCCACTTTGGATTCCACCCAAGGGCCTGGCGCGTGATGTCCCCAGTTGGCTTTCTCAGTGCATACCCAATCCATCTCCACTTTCTTCTCCTGCATATTTGTTGTGTGAAAGGTTGTTGGTTGGTTCTTTGCTAGCCAGCCACAGTTCCTTCTTGCTTATTCTTGTTATTCTGGCCATCTGATCTTCAGTAACGAGCCAGCGTAGGCAGTTGTTGGTGAATGTCTGCAATGTGTTGGAAATGCTTTTCGTAACGCGCCAAGTCTCTCAAGCATCACATGGATGCACTGACTTGACTGACGTTGGTGTTAAAAATCCAGATGTTGTTCATGCTTTATGCTGAGTGCAGAAGATCTCCACACTGGTTTCAGGTTGACGAAGGCCTGTCTTGCTGTCTTTCCGATTCTGACTTTGACGTCCTCGTCTGTGCCACCACCACCTGTAGTTGAAACGATGCTGTCTAGATAGGTGAAAGAGGCTACTTTCTTTAAGTTTCTCCTGTTGATGGTGATTGGAGCTTTTTGTTGTTGGTGGTGGCGTTGGTTGGTTTTCATCATCACCTCTGTCTTCTCTGCATTCTCTTGAAGTCTTGTCTTCACTGCCTCACCTCTTCTGTCAATCTGTTAGTTTTCGCTTGCAGATCTTCGAGTTTGTGAGACATTAGACACAAATCATTGGTGAAATTCAGATCTTCCTCTGGGGTCTTTTCATTGTTGTAGCCAGAGTGTCCTCCTCTTCTGACTCCTCACTGTTTGCTTCATGATCCAGTCCAGCCTTGATATTTTATCATGGAGGCTTCATCTCCATATGTTCAGAACTAACTTCTTAAAGAAGTGATGCATATTTAACTCTTAGACGCCCCTTTAGATAGCGTTTTTATTGATCCTGGATGTTGTCAAATTTTAAGTTGAAGAGGAAAGTTTCATTAAACCCTGACCTTTTTGACGTTTAATTTCCTACAGTCACACTGGGAGTGAAATTGTGGTATTTCTTACTGTCACGCTGTGCTCCGTTATTGATTTATCCGGTCAGTTTGCCCTAGGTTGATGGATGACTATTTCCCTCTTAAGTAGATTGTCGATTGAGTGCATATCTACGTATTTGTCGAGTGAAGTTTCATTGGAATGCTTACTTCTAGAAATTCTCTTGCAACTGTCAAATTCGCCCCTTGAAGCATTTCCATATTCTCCCAGTAGAATTTGTGATCATAATTTTTTGCATATATTTTACTGCTGGTTAGTGTTAATGAATTCTTTGAGCAGTCTGATGGCTAAACGGGGTAACGTAGTTTTGTGAACAATCTTTGTAGTTGATTTTTTAGATTACACTTCGTATATCTTCCTTTCGCTACAGATTCTTTGGTTTGTTGTGTAATGATTTCCTTGGTTTGTGTACAAAAGTTGTTGTGTAGTCATGGAGTAGCATAAGTTTATTTCTCCTCACTTTGTCAATGTGTCTTTTTACAAAGTTGTTAGGATAGACCATTTCGACCAATGAATGTCGAATATATTCTAACTCCTTATGTATTAATTTGTCAGAACATATTTTTCTTGCTTTGTTAGTGAGGTATTCAGCCAAGTTTTTAACAAGCAAATCCTTGAAGAGCAAACCTATATATATATATATATATATATATATATATATATATATATATATATATATATAAAGTGGACTCTTGAATAGAACATCTGATGGTCACTCAGTTCCTCGAAAACACAAAAGACGTAGCAAAAAGGATAAAGATTTATTATCCAGTTGAATATGTACAAAAATAACAGTTTATATACATTTTTTGATAGTTCTTTAAAACAATCTGAATCGCACATCTATGATTACGTGGTTTCTTGTGAATGTTCGACATGCTGTGAATGGCTGTGAAGGCTTTTGAATGATTTCCAGGTTTTTTTGAGGAACTAGAGGATAGTATCGTACAACGTAACAAACCCCTCACTAAAGTAAATAGGGTTGCTTGGAATTCCCTTCGGGTTTCTTTAAGGGTTTCCTGAACAGAGTTGTTCGATGTTGTGGTGACTCTAGATGAGTAGAATTCTAGCAACTCACTGTGGGGTTTGGAAATTATGAATCGCTTTCTGATTGCTGTGGATTGTCTAGTAACATATATAGAGTGGTAAGCTGAGAGGAGTATTATTTTCACTGTGGTTATGACATTCTGATCTTAGTTGATTTACATGTCTTCTCCAGATTTCCGGACCAAATTGCATTTAGTAAAGTAACCTGCCCGGTTGATGTGTTGGGATTCTTAATGCTCCTGTGGTTCGTGAGGAATCTACTAATGATACTGTTTTTTGATTTTTCTCCTTTTCCTTTTCAATAAACCACGTTTAAACGTATCCAGAAATCTTTCTATTTGATTCTGAGTGATAAGCGGGGAGGTTGTAAGTGCTGGATCGCATTATGTCTTCAAAAAGCTGAAACAACTTTACTAACATCTATCAGAGCTTCTACTGATATTACAGGCGTCCCAACGACCCAATGTATTACTAAACTCATGACTTGCAGGAGAGTTAGATGATATCCTTTGAAAAACCCGATCCTGTTCTCAATGATTCATCCTTGTACTAGATGGGACAAGAAATCTTTTCTCCTTGTTATGTAGACAACTTATTAAAAAGCCACATCCATAGTTTAGAATTCTCTCAAGCAATCTCACTCTCCACAAGCAACCCACAAGGTATTCTCCATTGTTACTCGTCATAAGTTTACGCAACGTAAACAATATGGTAATCGGACGTAACGGTTGACCTTAAGAGCGACATCTGAAACCTGATTAGTTGCTCTCAGGGTTTCACATCACTAAAGTTTAGTTCAACGTATGAAATCAGTAAGTCTTTAGCAACGTATTAATGCATAGTTTATATTCTCAAAGTTGTTGATGTAACTATACACTCTATGTGTCGTGATGTAGATTGCTTTCTCATACTTTCACAAAACATCAAGCATGCAGTCTATATCCTTTCGATCAGGCATATAACCATTCAGCTGGTGAACTGGAACCCTGCTTCAAACAGTTCAGTTATTTGCATACATTGACTGATCACTGGGAAACAACCAATTTCATTTTGTATAATCCTGAGAGCTGACCGAATTCTGCCTATCACTTGGCAATATGGCCTCTATGTTGGGAGGTTCAGCATAGTGGTTCACATTGGTAGATATTATTGGATGTAAGCAGACAAGAGCCAGCCCTACTTAACTTAAGTTTCGGTCTTGTTAGCACTCTTCAGTTAGGCGCATTTATAAACTCTAGGGAAGTGATGTCCCTTCCGAGATTCGAAAGCATGACACCTAATTTTGCAACCGATAAGGTTATCACTGAGCTATACAGCCTGAGGCTGACCTTCTGTAAGACTGATTCGATTAAACAGATACAACCATCCATCCATCCATCCATCCATCCATCCATCCATCCATCCATCCATCCATCCATCCATCCATCCATCCATCCATCCATCCATCCATCCATCCATCCATCCATCCATCCATCCATCCA